CAAGAGAGATACCTATAGTATTCCACAGAGGTGTTTATGGAATTTCACTGAGATAACACATGTGAAACTTAAGGCAAGGGCAAGGATCTAGTAAATTCTCAGTTAATGTTAGCTGTTGTGGTTGGCCTGCATCTTATAAACACAGGCTCTTAATCTGGTAGTCCATGCACTTTACTGTGTAGAATAATGAGGAAAGTTTAGGAAATGCAGATTCCTCGGTCCCACTACCCAAAATTCTGATTCATTAGCTTTCAGAGAAGCCCAGGAATCCATGAGCGATCCTAATACAAGAGTTCGCAGATTCAGATTCTGAGGCATCCGTGACCATTAAGAACATCACAAAAAATTGCATTCAATTCTCTGAAATTATAAGAGCTCTTCATTGTTGAAGTAATCAATGGCCTTTGGCCTCCTTAAACACCATGGTAATGGGAGTTAGTGACAGAGCAAATGTGATGGCCCTATCAACTGCCCACTCTGCTGTCTCTGTACGGACAGACACTTCCCAGGCATCCCTTGTAAGGAGCTGGGCTATCTGTAATCAGGACTGATATTTACTGAGTGCTTACCAGGGGAGAGCCACCCTTCCAATGCTTTCTATATATTTTGTAACCAGTTCTCTGACTAAAATTATCTTATTTTATAGATGAGAGAAATGAGGCTTTAAGGGTTGCCAAAGTTACCTAATAAAGTTAGAATTTCTGCTTTTTCACCAACCATCTATTCCAAACCTAATGCTTTCCATTACTATTTCAGTAGCCATTAAATTTGGAGCACAAGGATCCAGCCATGCTACATATCTATGAGACATGACCTTAAAACGGTCTGATATGGACTGTTGACTAAATATCAGTTATGGTCTCAAAGACCCCATAATGACTTAGTTTTTGCATAAATGAAGGAACGGGACATATAATAAATGGCGTATATACAGAGTCTATTAGTGTGTTTGGTTTTTAACATATATAAAAGTAGATAGCAAATAAATGTTGTCTTTCAAGAATGTCACCTTGAAAATCTGTGCACTTTTTCCAGTGATGTGGCCTTTGTGAATAATATTCTTGGACCCCTTCCTTTAATATAGCTTCCAGACCTGCTTTTTAACCTCACAAAGAAACCAATATGTTATTTTACTGTGGATTTTCCTGATAGATTAAACATTGTATTATCCAGTTTGAATGCTCTTTGAAGACATTTTGACTACTTCCCAATATTATCCCCTCTCAAAAGATGCATATTTATCTACCTAAGGAAGAGCCCAAAAAATGGCTTGTAGACAATCATGGTAATTCCTAAATTCAATGCAAAAATTATTGTGAATGAAGATTGTATGCTGGCTGGAATGATCTGGACTACACATTACAGAAAACCCAGCCCATGTGATTTAAGCAGTTAAAGAGTTGCTGTCTCATGTAGCAAGACAATGGAGTAGGGAAATTGAGGCTTTTGAATGCACAACAGTGTTATCAAGGACATTTTTGGATATTAAGTTCCTGGGAAGTTTCTATTAAAATCAGCCAAATTACTTTATGATCACAGTACAGAAGTCTCAGTAATCACAGAAATGAAAGACACTGATTCAGTCAGGATTATAAAGCTATAAAGAGTAGAAACTGACTCCAGCCAATTTAAGTAGGAAAAATAAAATCTGGAAAAACATGGCGGAGCTCCCAAAAATGAATGCTGACAATCCAAGATCAAAAAAGGACAAGCACCAGGGCAGTTCAAAAGCTCTGCAGACGAATCTGACTGGTTGAGCTTCTACTCCAAGCCTGCTAATTGGCCAGGGAAGGTCTGCGTACCCTGATTAATAGCCCCACCAAGGTGGTCCTCAAGACGAATAAATGGTTCCTTACAAGGAAGGTGTCATGTCGCTGCATAGAGGGACTTGGAGGCCAGGAGTCCCCCCACAAAACAAATACTCAGTACAAGTGCCAAGAAGCCTCATCTAGGAAGGCAGATCCTGCAGACACTGACTTAGCAGATCTAATTCTGGGGCTTGCAAAGATGACAATGTCAGGTCTGACTGCCAGTCTTCAGGAAATCTTAAGTGGTGGCTGCTGTCAGTCCCTAGATTACTCCCCTTGCCAGATCAGTGCATCTACACCACCATTCACAGATGGGCGCTTCTTTGGAAAGCTGTTATTGTTCAATAAGATACACCTCACCTGGAAATGCCACAGCAGCTATCCCCGTCCCTGGGTGTGTTTATCTGTACTATGTGGAAAAACAAGCAAAAAGAGACCTTTTAAACATTTGCTTTCAATGAAAAGGAAAATAGTCTATCATTTTGTTTAAGAATAAATGAAGTAAAAAAAAATTTACAACCCCATAGAGGTGTTTTGCATTCTAAATTATATGAAAGAGGCCAAAAGCTAACATTTTCACCCATTTGTCCAGCACTGAGTGGAGTAATCAGCTAAGCACCACTTCAGGAACCTGCCCAGCAGGTGGTCACACAAAACTAATCATGTAACCACGGCAGGCTGTGTACATCTCGCCCCAACTTTGACCATCTTGAATAAGATCAGAAGAAAGTAATTATAGGATTCACTTTAATGTCAAGCAACAAACAGAACTATCCACACTTGGAAAATGGACCTTCAAGACATTCATTTTTATTTTTTAAAAAAGCTTAAGAAAGGGCACAAATAATTTTGTTCATTTTTATGAGACTGAACTTCAAGGACAGACATTTTTTTGGAAGTAAAAATGGTCCGGCAGCATTCCCTGGTGCCTGACCCATAGCATCGCAAAAGTGCCAAGCGTGTTGGCACACACTGGGAGAGCCTTGTTTCTAGTTCTCCAAGAAACCAACAGAGTCCCCACTTCCACTCCTTCTCTTTAGGGTAAAAATGCAATGATTTTGGCATCAAAAAAAAAATTTCTGAATTATCAACTTGGCCCATTCAAGGTATTAGTTTTCCAGAGGAAATATAATTCCTAACACTTACTATAATGATAAAGGAGTCTGTTGTTTCAGCTGAAATGGATTCCGTAAAAGTTTGATGTTTCTGACTTGGCTAATGGAGTGAGAGGTCATAGGTTCTGTCTGCGGGTAACGTAAATCAGTGCCGCCACCATCAATCAGCAGGTGTCAGAGCTGGCCACTGCCATCCCCGAAGGCTGCTTGGCGGATGCTGGGAATAAATGATTTCCCCTCTTTATTTGCTATGCTGAGGAATGATAATGCAGCACATTCCGTGACCATTTGTCATGGAAGCACAGTCCCCTCCGTGGGGAATGTGTGGGAGTAGCCAGGACCTAGTGTTTTCAATTAATCAGGGCCAGGATTACTCACGCAGGAAATGAAAGAGAAAATTTAATACTTGAAACTAGGGTGAAAGCAGTAACCAAGTCTAATTCAAATACACTTTCTGCTTCTAATTTACATGCAGGATCATTTTATGAGTCACCTTTATTCTTGTGGTGTTTCTCTAGCCCCTGGGAACTGCCCTAGGCAAAAACACCCAGGAGTTTACAGCTGTGCGGGCGATTTCTTTTTCTTTTTTTTTCCTTTTTCCTCTTTTTTCTGAGACAGAGTCTCACTCTTTTGAGGTGATTTTTTTCCAATATCCTGACGTTGCAAGACTGGTCAAAGCAGATGGGTTTTGTGGCAAGTCTGAGTGGCTGGTGGCCATGTTCTTCTTCCTGGGTTTTAGCGTGACCTTGACTTCTTCCTCCTTGCTCTAGACTGTACCCAGTGTCCATGCACATCGACCACGGTTCCATATTATCAATTGCAGCACCTAGAATTCTGCCGTTGGCTTCAAGGTGCAAGCCGACAAAGCCCTTTGGCTGGCTCACAGCTCTGTGGGTAATTAATCGGTGATTTGTAGCAGGCTCGTGCCTGGAATGCATTGTTTCATTTTCTTTTCTGGTGGGGGCTGAAGCAGCCCGGGGGGGACTGCAGCACTGTCATGCCACAGCAGAGGTTCCTACCAAGAGGCAAACTAATAGACACTATGTAGTCCTGAGCAAACTAAGCATAGACAGGATTTGTTGTGGCTAATTAGCTTTATTACTTCATAAAAGCCTAGGTCCCTAGTTTCCAGAGAAATAATTACAATTGCAAATGAACTAGCACCATTGAAGAAGAAGGTCTTCAGCACAAAAGTAACCACAGACCCCCGCAGCATCTCCCTTGCAGTTTGAGCCATGCCAGGGATCTGCTCTTGGGGCTTGGCACCCCTGTTGTCTCCCTAGGTGTGGATGACACACACACACACATCTATTAGCATCTGTCTCTCTGTTAGTTCACAAAAGCTGTGTTCAGGGGTCAGATCTTTACATGAACCTGCACCCACTAACATGGCATATCTCGGCAGATTCACAAAAGTCCCACAACACCATGAGTACCCATGAATCAGTGCAAACGGAAGACCTCAGCTTTGAGGACAAAGGAATTTGAGTCAGTCACAAACTAAGGCTGGGGGCAGGGTCATTTCCAGTGCTACCGATGAAGGTCCTGTCCTTCCCAAACCTTCAGAATATGAAGGGGTGAAGAAAGACAAACAAGAAAGAAACAAGAGGCTCTCTTTGAGTTGCTGAGTAGAATCAGAAACTTTAAAAATATTCTGATTTTAGATAACATGGAGTACATAAAGTTGAGTAACTAGTTTAAAATGAGCTTTACTTTTCAATTGATGCTCTTAACATCTTTTAGACTCAACCCTGACTGTGGAGAGAGGGAAGGATGGAAGGAATAGTACAGAATGTGTGTCGATACAAGGTTATAGATTCACATCTATGCATAGATGTCTATATATCTAAATGTGTGTAGACAGATCCATTTCATTCCTATATATCTGTGTGAAACCACTTCTCAATTAAAATTACTCTTGCTGCTGTTAGATGCATCTCCCTTAATGATGCCTGCATTTGAGAATGTATAGACACTGCCAAGTGCTCAAAAGGGAGCTCATCGCCACACTGGGTTCTAGTTTAAAATGAGTCATTGTCACATATTTCTCTCCAAGTCTTAAGAAAAGCTTCTTTTTGGTTTGTTCTAACTCAGTCCCAACCCAGTTTTTAAGTTTTAAGTGATAATATTAAACTCTTAGCCCACGCCTCTGCTCCCATGAAGACTCACACGCTGAAGACGGCAGTTCTCACAGCCCAGCAGATAGGGGCACATAGAGCTGCCCTGACCGAATCCAGGCAGAAGTGGCTGGGTAGAGATCAGCCAGGGGCTTGCAAATCTCCATGTCTGATAGAAAGAGCTGCAGACACCACATATTGTCCTCCATAGAGAAAATGCTTCATTATTCATCTGGATCTAGAAAGGTGGGAAATGGAGATGTTGGCATTCGGCATCCCCACGTATAGAAAAAGACCATGACCTTGCCTGTGACCTTCACCATGTCACCTGTCTTCCCAGGCAAAAAGCAACCATCCTACTGCCCTTTTTGTGACTAGAAGCACCTCTTCCAGCACAAGATTGCTTAGGCTGCCTGTGGCCTTCACCGGAAGTGTCAGACCTAACTATTTCCCAAAGCAAAAGACTCATGGCCCTTCCCTGGCCCCCCTGCTGAGCTGCTAGGCCCAGTTCTCAGTGGCTGCTGCGTCCTAACGTCTTTGGAACCATTGTCTTTCTGGCCTGTTTGCTCCACCCAGAGAGAGGGTCTGGGTGGTGACCTCCCCAGGATGTGACTGCAGGGTGTGGACTCTCAGAGCTGAGCTCTGGGATTCATCCCCAACCTCTACCAAATCCTGCTTGCTCCTGGAGCAATGGAGAGGCAGGGCGGGTGAGCTGTACCAGAATGTGCCCTTGGCACATATCTCAGAAAACTCCCCACTAGAGAACACATTTTAGAGGGAAGAAGAAAGATCATAGACTTGCAGATGGGAGTTTAAATCTGACTATGGTAAAAAATGTCCGAAAAATTTATGATCTCTGTTTGTTCACAGCACTCACCTCAATTACACCCATCGCCCCACAGCAGGAGACTTTTGCCTTCTTAACCTGTCAGAGCCAGTGCTCAGTTCTCCTGGGGCATTTTAGATGCTGATTTCAAGCTCGCCAGGTCATGTGAGTGGGCAGCGAGGTCTCACATCCACATAAAGGATCTCAGTGTCTGCTCCACCTGTCGTGCAGCTCAGCAGGGGCCCGTCCAACCGTGGAAATGTGTTGCCAACAAGACCCCATCTGTCCCTGACAAGCAGAGGTGGCAGAGCACTCTTCGGCAGTGAGCTTTGTACCCAAACTGTTTATTTTTTTTTCACATCCTTCGGATAAGACATTTTGAGTTCATTTCAATAGCTAGTAATTCCCAGGTTCTGCCAGCTGCCTGTGTGCTGTAAGGAGAGGAGAGGGAGCTTTTCTGAAGTTAAGACGAATTTCATCCAGCCTCCATCACTGCTTGCAGCTATGCGGCTGTCCAGTCCATCCACAGCCTGGTCCCATGTCTTGCCTTTGCAGGGTGCCCCCGTCTTCCTCCGAGCACTGCCCCCACATGCTGTGCCTTAGAGAGGCGGCCTTCTAATTCTGGCATTTCCCAGGAGAAGCCCATCTCTCTGGCTTTGCCATTTCCCCCTTCCTGGAAACACGTTTCATCTCTCGGACTGAGGCATGGCAGCCCACACCGGCCTGGAGACCCTCCCAGGGTCACCTCACTCACTCAGATGCCTTCTAGAGAGCCCCGTGGTGATTGGTTATCTCCACACCAATTGGGGGTGTGGAGATAACCGGGGGTGTGGCCTGTGTCTTGGAACACGCTGAGCATATCAGGTAATGACAAGGGAGAGTGGAACCATGGGGAATGTACGTGAAACCATGACTTATGAGGTAGTGTAGCTATTACATACACACAGACATGCATGACCACGCACATGCAACCACACACATACACACACACACATACACACACACAGAAACACACCACAGAAACACACACACACAAGCACATCACAGAAACACACACACCACACAAGCACACACCACAGAAACACACACATACAAACACACACACACCACAGAAACACACACCACACAAACGCACATACACCTCAGAAACACACGCAGATCCCATTGACTTTCTGGGAAATGTTGCTTTTTTTTTTTTTTTTTTTTTTTTGCCTCAGAGAGAGTCTCACTCTGTCACCCAGCTGGAATGCAGTGGTGTGATCTCAGCTCACCGCAACCTCCACCTCCCGAGTTCAAGCAATTCGCCTGCTTCAGCCTCCTGAGTAGCTGGGATTACAGGCATAAGCCACCATACCTGGCTAATTTTTTTTGTATTTGAGTAGAGATGGGGTTTCACCATGCTGGCCAGGCTGATCTCAAACTCCTATCCTGAAGTGATCCGCCTGCCTTGGCCTCCCAAAGTGCTGGAATTGCAGGAATGAGCCACCACGCCTGGCTGGGAAATACTGCTTTTGTGATACGAATTTGGCATTGCTCTACCTGAGTGTAGGAAAACTCATAAGAGATGTTTTCCTACACTCAGGAATCAACCTAGTGCTCAGTTTTAGCTAAGTAGGTTAAAAAAAAAAAGTACACCTTCCCCATGCATATTTTTAATGTCTTCATTGTAAATGATTGCACATATTTCTGGGGAACATGTGAGATTTTGATAATTAATCCACGTGTGTTTGAATTGTTTCACTCGTGCGCCTTCTAGGGCACGGCTTTTCTAACCATCCACAATCTGGAAGCTCTTCTATTATTTGGTTAATGTAAAGAAAAACAGGCCAGGCGCGGTGGCTCAAGCCTGTAATCCCAGTACTTAGGGAGGCCGAGGCGGGTGGATCACGAGGTCAAGAGATCGAAACCATCCTGGTCAACATGGTGAAAACCCGTCTCTACTAAAAATACAAAAAATTAGCTGGGCATGGTGGCGTGTGCCTGTAATCCCAGCTACTCAGGAGGCTGAGGCAGGAGAATTGCCTGAACCCAGGAGGCGGAGGTTGCGGTGAGCCGAGATCGCGCCATTGCACTCCAGCCTGGGTAACGAGTGAAACTCCGTCCAAAAAAAAAAAAAAAAAAAGAAAGAAAAACAATAGTAACACTACATTGAAGTTTTAAAAGTAGAAAAATGGGTGGGTGCCTTTTTTCTTTTGGACTCTGCTTCGAGGGGCTGTGTAAGCGAATGAGGGGGGGTCTCCCCAGATCATAGGAATTTAATCAGCGTGAGCCATCAGCCTGGTGCACAGCCTCCTGCCCTGCAGCCTGTTTCTCTTAAGCTCTGCGTGAAATGCGGTCACCTCCTTGGTTAAAGCCAGGTCCTGACCGAGCCTGGTAACTTATAGTGAGCTTTCCTCATGACCACGCTAAAGTGTCCATCCCAGGGGGAGCCACAGTTTCATCACCCTAACACGTGACCCATGTGCTGGCATGGACTTGCTGCATCTGTACCACTGCGACCCCTCCTCTCCATGCTATGGTGCACCCTCCCCCTTCTCCATCACCCCATAAAACCCTCCCTTCCCTTTCCCTCAGGGACACACTGCTTTGGAGAATACACCCCTGTCCTCACATGTGCTGAATAATAAAACTCCTGTTGTTCAGTACCGGCCTTTTCTGCCTTCTCACGGAGGGTAGTTTGTCACTCATCAGGTAGACAGATCCTGGTTATTTCAGGTAACATCTGGCCCACACTCAGGTCCCCCAGGGAAGAGGAGCTGAGGACCTTTCTGTTTAGGGCTCACTGGGCCCTCTCCTTACCTCTAGGACTAGGCAATGACCTCATGGGTGCTAGAAGAAAGTGCTTCTACAGGCCTGCTCCAGCCAGATAAAAGAGAGCAAGCCCTTCATTTGCTCAATTCCTTTGCAAGCAGTGTGTTCTCCGCAATAGGCTCCTGAGAGGGGAAAAAAAAAGCCCTGTTGGCTCAGGTCAGCCAAGCCAAGCTCAGTCACAGAATAGGAAGGCGCGGTGGGGGCGGGAGGTAGGGAGAGCATGGGGAATGTGGTACCACTGGGGCAGAGAGCAAAGCAATGGGGAATCAATCTCCCACGTGTGTCTTCTGTCAGTTTATTTATTCACTCAACAGATAGTTATTGAGGACCAACCACGCGCAGGACTGATCAGAGCCCTGGGGTAGAAGTGTAAAACAGATGAGGTGCCTGGTCTTAAGGGGTTTGTATTCAAGTGGGAGCCAGGAAACAAGAGGTATACAATAAAAAAGCAAGTAACTAAGGCGTCTTCAGATAACCACTAGTCCTAGGAAGATAATTAAAAAGGCAGTAGGAGGGAGGGTAATGACGTTTTAGAACCCAACTGGGGACTACTAGCCTGGTGCAGTAAAACCAGTTACTCACACTGAGGTTTTTCAGCAATAGAAAGGCTTTTATTGTAAGTGCCAAGCAAAGATGGCCAGGCAGCTATTGCTCAGATCGTGACCTCCCCGATGGCTTGCAGCCACAGATTTTTAAAGGCAGGGGTAAATTATAGGAAAACAGAAGCCACAGGCAAAATCATCAATTAATATATGGAGGTTACACATTGGTTTAGACCTAAAAGGGTGTAGTATCTTGAAGTGAGGACTTATAGGTTATAGGTAGATCCAAAAACTTTGAAATTTGCAATTGGTGATGAAAGAGCAGCTTTATTAAAAAATTTGGGATCAGTAGAAAAATGTCCTTGCTTTTTTTGAGACAGTGTCTCACTCTGTCACCCAGGCTGGAGTGTAGTGGCATGATCATAGCTCACTGCAGCCTCCTGCCTCAGCCTCTTGAGCAGCTGGGACTACAGGTGTGCACCCCAGTGCCTAAGTTTTTAATTTTTCAAAAAAAAAAACCATAGTGAGATGGAATGTCACTATGTTGCTCAGCTGGTCTCAAGCTCCTGGCCTCAAGTAATCCTCCCACCTTGGCCTCCCAAGGTGCTGGCATGACAAGCATAGCTACCTTACCAACCAGTAGAAGAATGTCAACTGGCTAGGGTGGGTGGCTTTCTCCAAGCCCCCCAGAAAGAAACTGATAACAAAAGATGATGATTAAAGTTCATCTTCAATTCCCACTTACGTGAGGTCTGCATGTTGGCTGATCCCTTCATTGGGGGCCCCCAGTGGAGTTCTGAGTTTCTGAAAGACAACTCAGGAGCACAGGTTAAGATGTTCTCCTTGGGTTCTTTAGGGAAAGCAAACATCTCTAGGACTCTAATTTCCTCAGGTGTCCTTTAGGCTACTATTGTCTTCTTCGTTAACAAGTAACTTACTGACTTCTGGAGCTAGCTAGGTGCCTGAAATTTCCCCTTGAAGGAACTCATGATTCTCCTTGATTTTCATGCTTGGGATTTGCTAACAAAGGGGCCTCCTGCTCCATCTCAATGGGGAAAGAGAAGCTAGGTCAGGTCCTCAGGGAAAACCTTGGCATTGAGATGTGAATGAAAAGAAGAGACCTAGGTAGGTAAAGCAAGAACATTCCAGGAAGAAACAGGAGCAAGGATAAAATCCCCGAGTCAAGTGAATACATGTTTCTCAAAAGAAGACATGCAGAAAGCCAACAGACATGTGAAAAAAAATGCTCAACATCACTAATCGTCAGAGAAATGCAATTAGAACCGTAATGAGGCACCACTTTATCCCAGTTAGAATGGCCATTTTTAAAAAATCAAAAGCAATAGATGTTGGTACGGATGTAGTGAAAATGGAACACTTAAACACAGCTGGTGGGATTGTAAATTAGCAAAACCTCTGTGGAAAATGGTATGGATTTTTGTCAAAGAACTAAACGTAGATCTATTATTCTATCCAGAAATTCTGCCCCTGGGATCTACCTCCCAAAAAAGTCACTACATCAAAAAACACCTGCATGCATATCTTTATTACAGCACAATTCACAATTGCAACTACATGGAATCAACCTAAGTACCCATCAACCGATGAGTGGATAAAGTGTGATGTGTGTACACAAACACACACACACTATGAAATACTACTCATCCATACAAAGGAATAAAATAATGTCTTTTGCAACAACTTCGATGGAGCCGGAGGCCATTATTCTCAGTGAAATAAGTCAGGAATGGAAAACCAAGTATTGAACATTCTCACTTACAAGTGGGAGCTAAGCTGTGGCTATGCAAAGACATACAGAGGAATATAATGAACTGTGGAGACTGAAAAGCAGGAGGGTGGGAGGAAGGTGAGTGACAATATACTACTCATTGAGTACAATGTACACTGCTCAGGTGACAGGCGCACTAAAATCTCCGACTTCAACACTATACAATTCATCTATGTAACCAAAACCACTTGTACCCCTACAGCTATTGAAATCTTACAAAATGCAAATAAAAAATATTTTAAAGATCTTTAAGTCAAGAATATTTATGAGGATAAGTATGTTGCCCAAAACCATTGCACCCAAATCCACCTCGCTCAGGAGGTCTGCGGGTGCCATTGCACACCCTTTCCTCGGAGCCCCTGAGCCATGAGGTGCTGGGCGTGCCTGCCTTCTTCTCCTCCATTAGGGAGCTGCGGTTGATGCAAGAACGGCCTTGAGAAACAGACCTCTCAGACACCAAACTAGGAAGGAAGAGGTGTTTTATTATTACGGCCGGGAGCAAGGCAACAATTTGTCTAACAGCCAAGCTCATTTAACAAAGAGAAGCTCTGCCTTTATATAGGCTTACACTCTAGATATTACACGTGAAAGGATCTTAGGTGTACAGCCTTAGAAGTAACACGTGAAAGGGTCTCAGGTTTACAGTCTTGGAAATTACATGTGAAAGGGTCTTGGTAGATGGAGGCGTGGGGTGGGGGTTTGATCTTGTTTAAGTAAAACAATGCCTTCCGGAGAGAGTCCCCCCATACTATGCCTGCCATCTACAGGAAGGGGATTTAGGAGGTGCCAGTCAGCCAGCCTTTTTTTCTATTGAAATGCAATGTGGAAGTCAAGGGGGAGTTGATCCTAGATGCCTAGGTCTCCTTCCTCATGGTGACTACATCTTATTCAGCTCTGCCTCTTCCAGGCCACTAAGTGTAATTGATGCCAGCTGTTCAACAGAGAGTGACTGCGTGAATGGGCTCATGACAATATCGGACTGGAGTGACATGTCTGAACTGAATTGAGAATTATGACAATTTTAACATTGCAGCGTTCTCCCACTAGGAGTTTAATTTGAGGTTATATTTTTTCTTAACGATTGACTGTCAGGTAAAAATCAATTATTTTTGGAGAGTTCTCTGCACCTTTAGGGGATGATAATACAGAGAGCTGTGTCTTGTAGCTCACAGCAGTGTTACCTCAGTCTCATTGTTCTAAACTGATGGATTGTCTGGTGCTGGATAGAGGTGGCTTCTATGAGGCTAGACAGATTCCTTGCAACTCCAAAAGGAAAGGAGCAGGCATGCATCAGCAAAGAGAGCAGAGTACAGAACCTCTGAAAATTTACTCCTCCACACACACACACACACAAAATTAAAAAGCTGGCAAAAAATGGCCAGAAACAATTTTTTCTGGAATCTGAAAATTCACCAAAGGCTTGCAACCCCCCAGGGAGCGTTTATGTAGGACAAGCAGCTGAATCCCAGTAGGAACCAAGTGCTCTGTAGTATTTCAACTTGCCCTCGTCTCCTGCTCTCACTCCAGCTCAGCAGCAGCCTTGGAAATCACCTGCAGTCCCGGTACTAAAAGGAATAGAATAGATCTCATTCCTAAAGAGAGTCATTATTTGACTGGTCCAGTGCTTCCCTGAAAGACACAACTAGAGAGCCTTGTCTTTATTAGTGGCCTACTGCTAAAATCCTTTGGGGAAGGAAGAGCATTTGTCTAGAGCATTTACTAGTGTTTCAACAGTACATCTGCCCAAAGTAATGGATAACAGTGGGTGAAAACAATAAACTTAGGAAAAGCTTAAAGGAAAAGCTAAGGAATAAGATGTCCATAAGGGCCTTGAAAAGCTCTGTCACATTCCTGGGCATCTAGAAGACCTTGAGAATCTGTCCAGCAGGGCTTTGCACATGTCCAGGAAACCTGAGGAGGCCTAAGCTCTCACTACTGACTGAAGTTGAGGCCCTGCACAAATGGGAAGGACAGTGGTGGCGGAGTTGTCAACCGCCTGGCAAAGAGAGCGCTGACTATGTGCCCCAACACACAGAGAGAACCCATCTGCAAAGACTGAGAGATATTTCATTTAGGCATTTAAAGAAATCTCTGTCCAATCATTAGCTGACCACTACGCTAACTGAGACTTTGTTACCAAAAAGGAGTCCCGATCCAGACCAAGAAAGGGTTCTTGGATCTCACACAAGAAAGAATTTGGGGTGAGTTCATAAAGTGAACGCAAGTTTATTAAAGAAAGCAAAGGAATAAAGAACGGCTACTCTATAGGCAGAGAGAGGCTTGAGCTGCCCTACTAATAATACTCATTGTTACTTCGTGATTAAATGCTAACCAGTGGGTGAATTATTCATGAGTTTTCCAGGAAAGGGGTGGGAAACTCCAAGAACTGAGGGTTCTTCCCCTTTTTAGACTATACAGGGTAACTTCGTAGCATTGCAATGGTATTTGCAAACTGTCACGGTACTGGTAGGAGTGTCCTTTAGTATGCTAACATATTATAACTAGCATATAATAAGCCACGAGGATGAACAGAGGTCAATTCCATCACTGTCTGTTGGTGGGTTTTAGTCAGTTTCTTTACTACAAACTGTTTTATCAGGAAGGTCTTTATGACCCGTATCTTGTGCCAATCTATCTCATCCTGTGACTTAGGACTCCTAACCTAAGAATGCAGTCCGCAGATCTCAGCCTTATTTTACCCAGCCCCTATTCAAAATGGAGTTATTCTGGTTCAGATGCCTCTGACAGCTTCAGTGCCCACTAGGAACCCATTCTGATAAGGCAGGGCAAAGAGGTTAAGCTGCTTATCAAAGAACAGCAGACTGTGCCACGAATGCTGGTTTGAGAGCTGCAGGAATGCAAAAGTTACACCCAAACAGGAGGAAATTTTGACAGGGTCTGTGTGGTGCAGTGTGGGCCACAGGAGGAAGACTGGTCTCCCGGAGAACGGGACTCGAGTTTGAAAACGCGACTCATCTTGGCTTACAGGTTTGCACTGGCAACCACGTGTATCCACTCAATCACTCATCCTCTCTATAGGATCCAAGTCTTTCCATGGCAGTACGACACAGTGTTATGCAGGATATTAAGTGACTTGGTAAGCTTCAGGGGATGGAATTTCCTCCCTGCCTCCCAGCAGCCAGTTCCCAAGATTTATGGAGGTAGAAGTGAGTGTCTTGTTAATTACATACCTGTTATGCTGGCTTTCCCAGATGAACTTATTATTTTTTTTTTTAGCATCTCGCACTCCCTAGAAACTAACAGGAGCATCCTACTCTGCCTTAGGAATGTAAACTAAAACTAAAATTCTAGCCCACTCAACCATCTGAATGGATCCCTCCTCTTGGCCAAGGGCATTCATTCCAAAGTTTAGCTAAAAAATGAGTTCAGTAATTATAAAGACCACAGAAGGATAAATTTATAATGAAGGCAAGAAACCAGCCCAAAAAGGCTGAGAATACCCAAAATCAGAATACCTCTCCCTCCACAGGGGATCACAGTTCCTCATCAGCAACAGAACAAGGCCTGATGGAGAAAGACTGTTCCATCAGCAGAAGCGGACTTCAAAAAGTGGATGATAAGAAACTTCTGGGAATTAAAAGAACTTGTTCTAACCCAATGCAAAGAAACTAAGAACTTTGAAAAAAGGTTCGACGAAATGTTAACAATAACACACAATTTAGAGAGGAATATAAGTGAATTAATGGAGCTGAAAAATACAACACGAGAACTTCGCAAACTATGCACAAGTTTTAACAGCCGAATCGATCAAGCAGAAGAAAAGGTATCAGAGGTCGAAGACCAACTTCATGAAATAAAACAAAAAGACAAGATTAGAGAAAAAAGGATAAAAAAGAACGAGCAAAGTCTCCAAGAAATATGGGACTATGTGAAAAGACCTAATCTACATTTGATATGTGTACCTGGATGTGACAAAGAGAAACAATCCACGCTGGAAAATATGCTTCAGGGTATTATTCAGGAAAACTTTCCCAACCTAGCAAGGCAGGACAATATTCAA